GGAGGCATCACTGTTGCTGGAAGAACGGCTTTACATGTTGTTGCAGGGCGTGTTACAGGCCAGTACTACCGGGACAACATCTTGGCAGTCCATGTTGTGCCGTTCGCACGACGTCATGGCCGCCGTTTCATCTTCCAGGATGACAACGCAAGATGTCACAGGGCCAGGATCGTTACAGGTTACCTCCAACAACAGAACATCACCACATTACCTTGGCCAGCACTGAGTCCCGACCTCTCCCCCATCGAGCATGTCTGGGACATGCTTGGACAGAGGTTACGTCAACGTTAACAACGTCCTGCCAATGTCCAAGAACTTGCTGCTGCGTTGCAACAGGAATGGGACAATCTGGACCAAAATGACCTTAGACGTCTCATTAGGAGTATGCCACGTCGGATCAATGCTTATTTGGCAAACAGAGGAGGATTTACCCGTTACTGACTTGGTTGTGATGCTGTGGTAACTTTGCTGTTTGACCCAGGGTATCATTTTACCCTTATAATATTAATGGTCAGTCTGTGCCTTACTTAGTCTAACGATCATTTGGAATAAATCGATGAATGTGAACTTCATTTCATTTTGTCATTTGTTTCTTCGTCAGTTTCATTAGGTGACTTTAATAACACTTAAAAATCAAATATCCCCTACTTTTTTTGAATAGTATATAAACAATCGTAATCAATATGAACCGATCGGATAAACGGCTGACGGGAAATTAAAAGGTTCATCTAATTTTTCAACGCCGTAGATAAATTAATCGTGTGTTGATTTTTCAACGCATCTCAGGAAATTAAACGGCTCGTGTAATAAGTAATGGCCGAATGCATGACCACTCGGACCAAAGACCACTCGGACAAAAGACTACTCGGACCAATTGATAGACCACTCGGACCAATAATAAAGTTTTGTTTTAATTAATTGGGTTTGTTTTAATATGACTACTCGGACCGCTAATCAATTGTTTTAATAAATTGTGTTTGTTTTAATATGACTACTCGGATCGCTGATAAATTGTTGTTTTAATAAATTGTGTTTGTTTTAATAAATTATGTTTGTTTTAATAAATTGTGTTTGTTTTAATAAATTGTGTTTGTTTTAATATGACTACTCGGATCGCTAATAAATTGTTTTAATAAATTGTGTTTGTTTTCATATGACTACTCAGATTGAAATGTGGTCGTATATTGTCGTCGCCCCCTGTGCGTCCAGCATCCACAATTGCTTGTGGACACTCTAGAGGCCAAAGTTAATATCAGATTGACCTTAAATTTATACACATTGTTTAAGGTCTTGAGACAAAGAAGCCTCTTGATTTTCAGCGATTTCCGATAATTACTGCCAGAGTTATAGCCCTTGATCACTTCCAAAAATCTTGTGGAGGCTCTAGAAGCCAAAGTTAATATCCGATTGACCTTAAATTTATACACAGTGTTTAAGGTCTTGAGACAAAGAAGCCTTTTGATTTTCAGCGATTTCCAATAATTACTACCAGAGTAATGGGCCTTGATCACTTTAAAAAATCTTGTAGACGCTCTAGACATTAAAGTTAATATCCGATTGACTTTAAATTTATACATAGTGTTTAAGGTCATGAGACGAAGAAGCCTATTGATTTTCAACGATTTTCGATAATTACTGCTAGAGTTATAGCCCTTGATCACTTCAAAACATCTTGTGGACGCTCTAGAGGCTAAAGTTAATATCCGATTGACTTTAAATTTATACATAGTGTTTAAGGTCATGAGACGAAGAAGCCTATTGATTTTCAACAATTTTCGATAATTACTGCTAGATTTATGGCCCTTGATCACTTCAAAAAATATTGTGGACGCTCTAGAGGTCAAAGTTAATATCTGATTGACTTTGAATTTATACACAGTGTTTAAGGTCATGAGACGAAGAATCCTTTTGATTTTCAACAATTTCCGATAATTACTACCAGAGTTATGGCCCTTGATCACTTCAAAAAATCTTGTGGATGCTCTAGAGGCTAAAGTTAATATCCAATTGACTTTAAATTTATACACAGTGTTTGAGGTTATGAGACGAAGAATCCTATTGATTTTCAGTGATTTCTGATAATTACTGTCAGAGTTATGGCCCTTGATCACTTCAAAAAATCTTGTGGACGCTCTAGAGGCCAAAGTTAATATTCGATTGACTTTAAATTTATACACAGTGTTTAAGGTCATGAGACGATTTTTTAAGTAGATCGAGGCATTTATTATAGATATATAGATGTCTCTCTCGGCTATTATTATAGATATATTTAATTGACACGTATACTATTACTATCTCCTGATAATGTCTACTACATCATTAACACAGTTCATCGCGTGCATTTTGCATACCGATAGTTCATTGGCCAATCACGCTATTTTACTGACATTTCGCCTAATAGTTTGGATGCAGCTATGGCGGGTGTGGCACCAGGCAGGGTAAGCTTACTCTTCCGGACACCTGTTACCACTGTTTGTCATGTATTTTGTACACGAGGAGCAGTCCATTTGCTGATTACACTATTTTGCTTGAATACACTATTTTGCCTATAACGTTTTTTAGGACTTCGAATTCTGTCTTATGGTTTGGATTGTTTGTACTTGGTTTTGTTTTATTTTCAGCGATTTCCAATAATTACTGCCAGAGTTATGTCCCTTGATTTTCAACAATTTCCGCTCTAAAGGCTAAAGTTTAAGATCTTGAGACGAACAAGTATATTTATTTTCAATGAAATTTTATGACTTGAACAAATCCATGATATTAAAAGTTTTGTATACAAAAGGTTAGCATGGGGCAGAACTTTATAAAAACCAAACAAATTCTAATGGTTTTCTGATTATTACTTCATGAGTTGTTGCTCTTAATCAGATTTTTAGTTTATTACAAATTTTTCATTACCGAAAAAAGTAAGAATATGCGACAACTCTTGTTGACTTCTGTGGGAGTATGTTTCGTTGCCTGGCAACCTATCCTTTAGCTTGTGGTCCCTCTTGAGGTCACAATTATTGTCCGATTTAAAAAAAACAAACGTTTGATTATGTCATTGTTACACTGTAAGAAAGGTTGAGTTCGAATTTCATGAAAATCGGACGAAAATTGCCGGACAAAATGGACGCTGTTTGTACGCGAATAGTGTAAAAATATGGTATATCAAGGTTGTGGACCCTGTAGAGGTCACAATTTTTATCAGATTTTGTTGAAACTTGAAGTGTAAGTTTATAACCCAAAGATCTCGGTTGCTTTCGATATTCGCGCATATCGGATGGTAACTTCCTGAATTATGGCCTCTGATTGTACGAAAAATTGTGTTTTAGCTTACTCCCTAAGGATGGTTGAGTTCACATTTCATGAAAATCGGCCCAAAACTGACAGACAAAATGGCCGTCCCTCGTACTCAAATATCGTAAAAATGATATATCAAGGTTGTGGACCCTCTAGAGGTCACAATTTTCTTCTAATTTTGATGAAACTTGAAATGTAACTTTATTACCCAAAGATCTTGGTTCCTTTCCATATTTGTGCATATCGGATCGTTACTTCCTGAATTATGCAGACATGATTTTTTCCCGCTTTAAAGCGGATTTCCGCTATTTGTCCCGTCTGGTTCTGATTTTTGCGGTCTGTTCTGATTTTTGACAACGCTTTTGTTATGATATTGTTCCGTTTTAATTCAAGCACCTTGCTTTAAAAGCGTAATATCATAAAAAAAATCATTAATTTTTTCCTGACAAAGTTCTAACTGGTAACTCCAAAATATCTATCCATAACTTTAAAATCTGCTAACCGGATGTCAGCGATGTAAACATTAACAGTACAGTATCGTAGACTCATGTGAGATTGAACAAGATCGCCTGTCACTGTTTACACGTAACATAGTTTCTCTATCGTAGTATTCTTTGATGATAGGTTATCGTTGTCAGTTCTTTCCCGCTATGGCTAAGGTCGTATGTGTAGATCGAGACGTCGACACCAAACTACATGTATTCCATAAAATGTATGAAAGTGGAAATGGTTGGAACGGAAGGTGGAAGGCGAGCTTGTGAGACGTTCTATTCGTAAAGTCAATGTCCGACGATTCGTTTAGAGTTAGCGCAACACATTCTAGTCTAGAAAATTATACAGGGACAATCAAAAGATCGGATCCGTAGTTCTGTAAATGGAAAATAAATAAATTAAATATAAGTTAAGTCAAAATTTGTAGTAAATTAGTAGACAGATACAATAATTTTAAAATTCATTATCAGAACCCGCCCCCCCCCTTACCTTAAAATCGCCATTGGCCCCCATAACACACTGGCATTGCCCCTGGACAAGCCCCCTTCCGCACCCATTTTTTTTTCAGCTAAACAGCTAAAATCATGTCTGATTATGGCCCCTGATTGTACGAAAAATCACTTTTTGTTTAGCTTGTTCTCTATCCATCTCTTGCAAAATGTGGGCGTATCCTGCCGGGCAGCCACTGGTTAGCTTGTTCTCTATCCATCTCTTGCCACATGTGGGTGTATTCTGCCTGGCAGCCGCTGATTGTTTTTAGCTTGTTCTGTATCCATCTCTTGCAAAATGTGGGATTATCCTGTCTGGCAGCCACTGGTGGTTTTTAGCTTGCTCTCTATCTATCTCTTGCAAAATGTGGGCGTATCCTGCCTGACAGCCGCTGGTTTTAGCATGTTTTCTGTCCTTTTTTTTAATTTGTATAAATATCATGTTTCATTCTTAACTTGTGTTTGTGTGACATCTCTTCTGCCTGACGGGTCTCGCGAGACACACGAACCGGGAGTGAGATTTGGCGGTTGTATAGATGGCAACCAGAAAAAAAGTGTCAGAAATGCGAGTCGTGGTTAATTATCAATTTTAACATCCATCTCTTGCAAAATGTGGGCGTAACTTGCCTCGTAACTGCTTGTTAAATTATTATCCCAGAAATCTTCATTGAATATCGATGCATGTAGTCCTATGCAGCCGACAGTCTGTCTGTTCTGACCATTTCTTATTTCTTGCAGCAAAATGTTACCATGCCATTACCAGATATAATTAGTGCTATACAAGGTTCTGATTTACAACAACAGATGATGGCAACTCAAGCTGTCCGTAAAGTTTTGTCGAAAGAAAGGAACCCACCTATAAATGATATTATCCAAGCTAATCTTGTACCAAGACTAAAGGAATTTTTGTCTCACAGTGATAGGTTTGTTGATAGTTTTCTCCTTTTATTATACATCCACATGTTGATATTTTGTCTGTAAATGATATACATGTTGCAATTATTAACAGATTTGGAACCAAATCGGAATGATCAGCATAGGGTTTTACCTATATGGTCCATGTCCAACCCCCAGGGAATCCCTGGTTGTACATGACGAGGAGTTAGGTCGCCTGTCCAACCTCGTGGGTTTTCTCCTCATCCTCCGGTTTCCTCCCACTACTAAAGACCCCTACGCGCAAGCGATTATTGAAATAAAATTAAAACCATATGTTAGTCCCGAAATGATCTAGTTTGTGTCGAGTTGATATTAACCCTCATTTCTCTCTCTCCAACCCTCAGGGGCAGAGCCACGTCCAATTTTTGTGTGATTAATTCACGATTGGAGACATATGTTTTACTTGGATCCACGTCAATTCGGATTATGGAATTGCACGATCAAAACTTCGAGTCGCAGACTAAAAGCTAATGCGGCGATTCACACGAATTTTTAGTCCGTCCTGCCGATGTCGAAGAAATTAATTACTATATTCATATGCCTATCGATCAAAATAACCAAAACTTTTTAATTGTGTTTGTGTGCATGGATAATGTGTGGAAAATTATAAGTAAAGGGTTAGTTGTTAACGTGAATATTCATGACCTTTGAATATATGAATATTAATGATGTGTTTGTGTGGGTGTGTGCGTTTGTGTGTGTGTGTGTGCAGTCGTTGATCTTGTTGTCATGGTAAAGTGTGCACAAGTATTCTGTACATCGAAGTGAGAAGATGTAATATAATGGAAGTGAGAAGATGTACATGTAATATAATGGAAGTGAGAATAAAATACCATTGAATCAAATATAGTGTGGTCATTTAAAGATACATTATGGGAGATTAGATAAAGAGCTGACAGTTCTCGCTGTAATAGTTAAAAACTAGATAATGTAAAGGTAATTTGTTGAAAATTTCAGTCAAATTGGTCCACTATGAACCGAGATATCAACTTTGTAAATTTCCAACTTGCCTCGTTCATCATTACTAAAGTTAGTACGTCAAAAAGCATAGTCTCGATTATCCAATGTTTTGATTTAATTATCAATGAGCGTTTGCAGCATATAGAATTCTAATCCAGTCGATATCGAAGGCTAGCCTTGACATCGAGAGTTGATTATGCTCTGGATAAGTTAATTAATGTCTAATAATTGTCCCCCGCCTTTCGAAGAAAGCAGGGGACTATTAAAATGGGTTCGTCCGTCTGTCTGTCCGTCTGTCTGTCCGTCACACTTTTTGGGACACAATAACTCTCTTCCTAATTGAGCTAGAATGTTCAAACTTGGTGTATGTGTTTATTAGGTCAATGCCTTGATGGAGTTCGAAGATGAGCATTTTCCGCTTAGGGTAAGCAGAGATAAGCAATTTGATTGGTTGATGCTTTGGGACACGATAACTCTCTTCCTAATTGGGCTAGAATGTTCAAACTTGGTGTATGTGTTGATTAGGTCAATGCCTTGATGGAGTTCGAAGATGAGCATTTTCCGCTTAGGGTAAGCAGAGATAAGCAATTTGATTGGTTGATGCTTTGGGACACGATAATTTTTAATTGAGCTAGAATGTTCAAACTTGGTGTATGTGTTTATTAGGTCAATGCCTTGATGGAGTTCGAAGATGAGCATTTTCCGCTTAGGGTAAGCAGAGATAAGCAATTTGATTGGTTGATACTTTGGGGCACGATAACTCTCTTCCTAATTGAGCTAGAATGTTCAAACTTGGTGTATGTGTTGATTAGGTCAATGCCTTGATGGAGTTCGAAGATGAGCATTTTCCGCTTAGGGTAAGCAGAGATAAGCAATTTGATTGGTTGATGCTTTGGGACACGATAACTTTAGTTCTAATTAAGTGAGATTGATGAAACTTGGTGTATAGTTTCATTACAGTAATACCTTGACTAAGTTTGATAATGAGCATTTTCTGCTCAGGGTAAGCAGAGCGATACACAATTTGATTGGTCGAGACTTTGGAAAACAATAACTCTCCTACTTTGATTGTTAGACTATAAGTAAAGATATACTGTTTGATTGTTCAATACTTTGTAAAAGATAATTTGTGATAAATTTATATGTGTCCTCTAATTATTTTCCTATTTCGGCGGGGGACATCAGCCTCACTGTTGGCTTGTTTAGATAAGATTTCAGGCCTAAAGAAAGACCTGCATAGGCAGATTTACCTCTTGCATAATGCATGTTTAACATTAGTTACCAAAACGACTTTTCAAGGCCTGTCTGATTAAACTCTATATTCATTTATTTCTATTTATGTAAAAAATTTTTTTAAACCATTAAAAAGAAACACACACACACACTTATTGTAGAAAATCATGTGAGAAGCTTGAATCCTCGATGCATCTGCATACATGATCAATCGAACATTTGAATAACTGTTCTAGACTGGATCTAGTTTTTCTTTTTTATACGTTTTTATTTTGAGGTTCAATAATTATTCTCTGTTTTGACATAATCATTGTTTTATTAGCCATGTTCAACCAAGAGGAAATTTCAAAACCATTGCGAATGTTTGCTACATATATGCACCATACAACTATTTTTATACGCCCACATTTTCATCTGGACGTATATTGTCGTCGCCCCTGTCCATTGTCCACAATTGTTTGTGGACACTCTACAGGTCACACTTCTTTTCCGATTTTGACGAAACTTGAAATATAGGTTTATCTCCCAAAGATCTTTGTTGCTTTCGATATTGGCATGTATCGGACCGTAACTTCCTGAATTATGTCCCCCGATTGTACGAAAAATCATGTTTTTAGCTTGTGGACCCTATAGAGGTCATAATTTTTATCCGATTTTAAAAAAACGTTTTAGTATATCAGCGTTAATTCCTAAGGAGGGTTGATTTCGAATTTCCTGAAAATCGGCCTAAAACTGACAGACAAAATGGTATATCAAGGTTGTGGACCCTCTAGAGGTCATGATTTAGATGAAACATGAAATGTAAGTTTTTAACCCAAAGATATCGGTTCCTTTCGATATTCGTGCATATCGGACCACAACTTCCTTAATTATCGCCCTTGATTGTACGAAAAATCACATTTTTTATGCCATTTAAAAAAAACCGTTTGAATGTATCACCATTACACCCTAAGGTAGAGTGGTTCAATGGTCAATTAATTGTCCTTATATAAACATAGTTATCTGCTTTACTGCACCGTCCGTGAGATTTTCTGAAGTGAGCAACATGTTGTCCCGCGCACGTGAATTTGGAGGTCGCGGCAAATATACGTCACAAATAGCATTCCACGTGGTATTATACAAACATGTATTTGTATATAAAGCCAAGTAAAAAAAACTCATTACGCGCTTTGACTTTCGTCTTTATTTAATAGCGAACCACAAAAGAGAACATGGTCCTAATTTTGAATTTGTTGTTAATATAAATATTATCTTTTATGTTGTTTACCCCTCCCCACAATACCAAATGCGAATGCAAATCTCCCTGAATCTCGATCTTTATTTTATTTGTAATACTTATAGAATATCGTCCCCATACTTTGTCCTGCAAATTACAATTTGTTCTTTTTTCATAAAAAACCTCATACAGCACAATATATTTATTAATCTGTGAGACAAAAAATAGTCTTAAATTAATAAATTGATAGAGGTCTTTATCCCTCACTCTCCATATTACATGCCATTATATTTTCCTCGTACTCTATCCGACAATTTAATTTTAATAACAAACATCATACTGCACAATATATTTATCTAGGGGACTAACATTAAAGTGTTACATTATTAGATTTATAGACGTCTCTCTCCCGCTCTCTTTTGCTCCCTCTGTATAACATGCCATTATAAACAGACCCGGTGTCTGTGGGTATACAGAAATGAAAACACTGTTCTTTTTAATACATGTATTAGGCTAATCTTTAAACAATTCATGTCAAACGTCTTTTCATATCCAGCTAAACTTGTATTTTAATTTCCACAGCATTATATAGTTAATATTAAGACATTTGAAGGCGTGGGTATATTGTTAAAACAACTAAGCATTTGCGCATGCACACACGTCAAATTTAATCGTCTCATAGAGTGTATTCCGTAACTTCGCAGCAAGGAAATAAACGATGTTTTCTGACTGCGATAAGGAAATTTCATTTCAGGGACGTTCGCTACTGTTTTACAGCAACGAACTCTTATTCTCACTAAGAGTTATCTGCCTTGATTATGGAAGCTGGGTATATTTTGAAGCATTTATAACATATTTCCAAATGGTTATATCCTCAAAAATTAAATGTGTTCAGACTTCCATTGTTGACGAATGAAGTTTTTATGGTAAGTCTTATCATATAATGTGAAAATAATCCCGAAATAGTGTCTGTTTGTTGTAAAAAAAAAAAAAATTAGCATGAACCACTCTACCTAAGGATGGTTGGGTTTGAATTTCATAAAAATCGGACCAAAACTGACAGACAAAATGGCCGTCCCTGATTTTGATGAAAACTGAAATGTAAATTTCATCTTGGTTCCTTTCGATATTCGCACATTTATTATCAGATTTAAAAAAAAATGTTCAAACATATCGCTGTTGCACCGTAATTTTAGTTGAGTTCGAATTTCATGAAAATCAGACCGAAACTGCCGGACAAAATGTCCGCCCCTCGTACACAATTAGTGTAAACATCTGGTATATCAAAGTTGTGGACCCTCTAGAGGTCACAATTTTGATCTGGTTTTGATGAAAATTGAAATGTATGTTTATAACCTAAAGATCTTGGTTCCTTTCGATATTCGCGCATATCGGATGGTAACTTCCTGAATTATGGCCCCTGTTTGTATGAAAAATCATGTTTTTAGCTTGTTGTTAAGGTCACAATTTTTATCCGATTTAAAAAAAACATGTGAATATATCACCATTACACACTAAGATCTTGGTTTCTTTTGATAATTGCGTATATATATCCGAACGTAACTGCCTGGATTATGG